AGCCGATGCCACGGCAGCGGGCATCCCCGATGAACCCGCGCCAATATCTATAAAATAAATTCGACCGACGTTATAAAGACGCTAAAAATGTGTAATAATGAAGGAATCATCTGCGCGATCGGATTTGCCGCCAAAAAATTTTTCAGGGTGAACGCTCTCCAGCGCTTTGGCAATACTTTCTTGGATGTTATCCTAATAGTTTGATTCGATAGAGGAAATCTAGTTCCGATACAGTTTTGTTTGTAAACAAACTATCACCGGTTCTTTTGGCATTTGGCTTCATAAAACTAGTGTTTAAACACACAGAATATAAACATTTGCGTACGCAATAGAAAGAATCTTCGATTGTTGTTTCTTTTTATTGGAAGAAAAGTTTCTGGCCGGATGTTTTATTAATTAAAAAATTAAATAAATTAAAAGAGCAAAGTAGATATTTCTAATTATGGCAATAGGTTTCCTTGCAAATAAATTGTGACATTCTAAAGACCGTAAAAAGTGGTTCAGTAATTTTTGTCTTCATCATTCATAGAACAACCATAACTTCGGTCGCACACTTTTGACAAAACTGTAACAATACTGTTGTGCGATTGTCAATTATTTCGCTACCCATTCAACTGTTTTCTTGCACAACTAAGACTCGAGTATGCACACCTTCACAAGCTCATAGGAATCAAAGCGAGACTAAATAGTTGTGCGATATTTTAGTCAGAGGTGTTCGCTCTTTATGAGTCAACATAAAGTAAGTATTCAAAGTGAAAATATTCAGATAGACGATATCGCAATGTCCTAGTAGATTGCGCTCCTCAGCGCCTTTGCCAACAATCTCAATACAGCTTGTGTTGCTATATACGACAAATATTCGCCTTGCCGAGGTCGTTTCATAGCGTTATGACGTCACTTCTATATTTTGTTTTCGCGCGCTTTTCAAAGTCATTTCCAAAGGCATCGAAATATCCTAGAAATTAGCGCACGATGTTAAGTATTGCTCATCATATAACAAACAACAAATTAAAATTAGAAGAGTTTTTTACGCGGATAAATAATTTTCTCACATATCATGTTCGTAAGTTATGGGTGTCTAACCACCATTGGGTTGTTTTAGCTCCCGATGTTTCGGCACTGACTGAAATATTCCAGTAGTGTGAAGAAAAAGATACAAGAAACCGTATCGGTCTAATTTTTCCTGATACGAAAACCACTACTAATATTACTGTCGGTGTTTTCACTACACTGTAACTGTACACTAGATGTTCTGTCGAGAAACTACACTCACGGTGTCAACATGCATTTATTCAACGGAGCTAAAACTATCCAAACGACGAGACCCGTCGTTTCGGCGTGGTTGTCCACCGCGGTGTTCTCGCCGCTCTTTTCCCCCTTTTATTATAAAAAACCCTTATGTTACGAACATTTTATGTTTAAAAACCACGACAATTTAAAGTTATATAATTTTTTAGCTATTAAAATTTGTATACACAGAATACACGTGTTCATTAATATGAGCGCTCGTCGGAACTGCCAGGAATTACCACGTGCGTGGAGGTCCTGCCAAGTGGGCACCCTAGTGAGTCTGGCGAAGCAGGTGGTTCACTTTGGCAGGAGTCACCCGCGTCTGCGAAAGCCGCCAACTACAATGTTATGACTGGTTTCTTTGTTTACATTTGGAAACTGTTAGCACGGCTAATCATGTGTATGTTGATTGTGGAATTTTCATTCAGATCAATTTTATTGTTTAGACAAGAAACATCTGCGAACCTTGGATTTTGTATATAAGTGTGTACTAATGTTTTGTTTTAGAGCCACGTTTGTTTCTTGTATGTTTTTGGTGTAATAAATACAAATGTTGGAGTGGAAACTTACGATTCTATACACTCTGTCATTTACAAGTCTAGATTTTAACTTCCTGAATCTTCTACGGTTTGATAATAAACAGTCTCCCTTTACCGTATTTTGTGTGTCTTAATTTCTTTCATTATTATAAAAGATGCTGATTATGAGAGTAGCCGCAGTAGTTGAGAAAATAAGGAGTAAAAGGTTAGCGTAGTATGGGCAAGTTATGAGAAGGGATGAATCGCATTTAACAAGAAGGATGTTAGTTATGAATGTGGAAGGGTATACCGATAGAGGTAGACTTAGAAAGAGATGGATAGATTGCGTGAAAGGAGACATGATCAAGAAGGGAGTGATGCCTGAGATGACGGATGATAGTGTTATTTGGAGGACGAAAACCCGGTGCCCCCTACGGGAGTAGGATTAAGCAGGGGAGATTATGAAATTATAAAACATGTCATTGTGCTGTTATTCAGCCGTAGTCCATCAAAAGTTAGATAGTATTCGTGTTTGTGTTAATCGTGCCGTGAGAAAGTCCGTATCCTGGAGGCGAGGTGGCTCCGGGAACTAATTAGTATTGCCTCAGTAACCGCACACCGCCGGCCATAGTAACAACTACGGGAGATATTATTGGTTGATTATATGAATTGTGAATATATTTACATTACTATAGCTTCTTATGGAATATAATACGGAATTTTCATGTTACATTATTTATTTATTTTAGTAAAACATGTATCGCTATTAGGTTTACTTGTGGTTGCTCCTTGATTCAGAAATGAAAGGAAAATTTCAAGCTAAGACATTTGTCAAATTATAACTAGGTCATACAGTAAATACACATACGTTTGTAATAATGATCTATTTTTTTTTGATACAAATTATATTAGACTAGCTATTGCTCGTGACTTCGTCCGCGTGAACTTAAAATGTAGCATATTAAATTACCTTATTATCGGTGTAAGAATTTTACGTCTCAGTAGTTTTTAAGTTATTGCAATACATACAGATATACAAATCTTTCCTCTTTATATTAGTACTAGCTGTTCCAGTGCGACTTCATCCGCATGAAATGTCAAAATTCAAATGCACAAATGACAATTTCTTCCTTGATGTTGGCAGCAATATATGGTCTCTTTCCCACAAAACGATTTTTGTCCAAAATTATTACCCCCTAAGTGTAATGGCTTGAAAATATATAGCCTAAAGCGTGACGTAAGTGTAGGGCTTTTTATTAAAAAAAGAACTATTCAAAAATATGCTGTGATTGCTGACATCTTAGGCAACAAAGAAGTGTGTGTTTACGCTTTATTATAATAGTATAGATAGAAAATATATATAACTAGATAATTTCCAGTTTAGGGGGTCATTAAATCTTGGTTAATTACGATATTCATTTAAGTGTGAATTTCAAACTATGACTGAATATTTTTTTTAATCATAAACTTAAAAAAAATCTCCAATCGATTTATTTCAGGTGACACTTATAGGTCAACACTAGAGGTCAGTTGTGCTAACAAAAACAATCGCAAATTCCTCACTGAAGCCCGCAATAAATCACAAATGTTAGCATACATTACGTTATGATTCAGTCGGCATAACAATACAGTATTTGTCCTGCGTGTACGCATTGAATACACGATGGGATACGATTTACGAACATGACACATGTCAATACGAGATTTAAAGAGAAAGACAAGCAGGTTTACACTTTATGCGGCGCGTGCTTGCGGTTTTCGTATTTCGATATCGGAATAAGTTTGACTGTCGAAGTATAAACCGATGAGGATATACGCGTAAGTAGAAATAAATTACGGCTCACTAGCGCCACCTGTCAATTTACAAGATCTTTGTTGTATTGTAGCTGTAATTTTTTTTATATTCTCTAAATCTTAAGTAGTATACACATTTTCTAAAACTAACCGCGATATTAACGCCTTTTACCGGGTCAGATGTCTTTGTTTGACTGTGTTAATAATTAATAAATTGATAGTTTCGACTTTGAAAAAACTGGACACTTTTATTATTTTAAGGTTATTTTGTAACGCAAGACGTTAATATGCTTATAATAATAAAAAAACCGTGCGGTTAACGCGGAACTTTCTGTTCCGCGTTGTGGAACGGTCTGTCCTCGGCGGTATTTTCAAACCAATAAGACTTAGGGACTGCAATTTCGTCAAAGGCCGGCAACGCATCTGTAGTTCCTCTGGTGTTGCGGATGTCCATGGGCGTCGTTGACCACCTCTGAGTTCCCGCCGCTCGTTTGCCCCCTTCTCTCATTAAAAAAACATATAGTAAGTATAGAATAAAATTGAGAAAAGCTTTCACTCTAATTGTATGAAAGTATTTTGTTGTGTGTATTGTATGTTAAATGTATGACAAAGAGTTTCCTAAAGGTCTTCCTGCTTACGGAAACAATTCGCGTAAAAACCAATACATTACTCATACTCTATCTTTTGAATATTTAAAGTGAATTGTATTATTTGAAATATAACAGTTAAAATGTTAGCTAAATGAAATGGGTTCTTTTCTTATTACATGGCTCATGAACTTGTTTGGTCAATTACGAAAAACAGATAGAAATAGATGAAAAGTTTCATAATTTGATAACATATTTATTGAACATTATAAATTACAGAAATATAAACTTAATTTTGATATGACAGGCGTTTATATTGTCGTGTGATTTAATGTTATTCTAGAATGAATACTTTACCTAATGGATATAGATTAGACAGGATCCAAGCTAGGCTAGATTTTATCAGTACAGGATGGAAATAAAAAAACTACGGGGATGTGAAGATCGGTTATAATCTTGTAAGGATGAGGGAGTTTTGAGGGCTCTTCTACGTAAGCTTTCCCTTTGTATGAAGTAACATTAAGTGCATGTGATGTTGATGTTACTGATACGTGTAACTTAACGAAGGTTCTACCTTCAAGTGTGTATTTATTAACTTTTTTAAATGTAAACTTTAACTGTATTCGAATAAATTGCTTATTGAGATTTAAATATGAAATTAATTACTCTCATCAGTTATTAGTAAAGTTCATAGATTAATAAAATTAAAATTAAAATTGGGAAGACTTTAGAATTTGGCCGCCATTTTGGACGCCAACGCAACAATGTTTGTATGAAGTTAAATCTCGTTTGATTGTTTAAATGTTCACAGGACGAGTTCCATCCGTTCATAGAGGCACTCATGCCTTTTGTAAAGTCCTTTTCGTACACGTGGTTCAATTTACAAGCGGCAAAAAGGAAATATTACAAGAAACACGAGAAGCGGATGAGTCTCGAGGAGGAGCGGCATACTAAATATGAATTGCAGGTATATTTTCATGTAATCTTACTTATAAATGGGATAGTTTAGATGGATGGATGTTTGTTAGATTTTGTAGCCTAAGCTGAACAGATTTTGATGAAATTTGGAATAGATGTAGAGTATAGTTTGGAAAACACATAGGCTACTTACTTTTGTTTTTTTTACTCGCGGACAGAATCGTGGGCGAAAGCTAATAATAGAATTATGAGAATGATTTAAGAAGGAATGAAAGCAGGGGAAAAATTGATCAATAATAACATTTACAAAAGCTTCACCGATAGCCTCATGACGTTACGTGGTAACTGATGGTATTGTGCAGACGAGGGATGCGGTCGTGAGTGATGGAAGTATCGTCAAAACTACTGGACACGAGTTATAAATATGTCTAATTCCTTTATAATTCCCAGAAAGAAGAAGTAATTAGATTTATATCCAGCATTTAAAACTGCAAATGTGACAAAGGAACAGACGTATTTAGCTTCGAAAACTGTGTTATTTACTAAAACTAAATATAAAAGATATAATAAGATAAAAACAAGCAACATATCTAATGATGTTTATGAGAGAATACTTTATGTTTATTCTAAATTAACGACTTTTGTCTTTATTCTTCACTTCTTCTCACTTTAACTAGTAAATTATTTTATACCCCACTCTTAATACACTCTTTTACAATTCCAGAACGAAAAAGCAGAAGTGAAACAGAAATGGGCGTCACGTCTCCTGGGCAAGCTACGGAAAGACATAACACAGGATTGCAGGGAGGACTTCGTGCTTAGTATAACAGGGAAAAGACCCGCGGTCTGCGTGCTCTCTAACCCCGACCAGAAGGGAAAAATGAGGAGGATAGACTGTTTAAGACAAGCGGACAAGGTAAACACATACTAGTTCACCCCAACATGAAAGCAATATAAGCATGTATTGTAGAGGTTAAATTCCACTTAAACCTAAAGGACAGATCTACAAGTCCATCATAAGACCTGTCGTATTGTATGGATCTGAATGTTAGGCCACCAATGTTGCGAAAGAATGAAGATTGCATGTAGCTAAGTTAAGATAGATGTGTGGTGTGACAAGGGATAAAGTTATGAATTTGTATATTAGAGGTAATTCGAAAGAAGCCCCAGTGGTAGAGAAATTGTAATGTAAAAGGTTAGTGTGGTATGGACGTCAAGATGTTGAAATAAACAAGAAATTTAAGATTGAATGTGGGCTGCTAAGTCAGAGAAAGATCGAAGAAAGTATGGATTGATTGTAAGAGGATGAATTAAGAAGGGAGTGGATTCAGATATGACAGCTGATAGATTTCTATCAATATTTACAGTATGTGCTGCTCTTCCATACATTTGTATACATTTGTTTGGAAGAGCACTAAATACTGTGCCGACCCTTAGCGACAAGAGCAACTTGATGATGTATATAGTGTAGATTGCCTATATTTTTGTATACTAACAAAACTCTACTAAAATTTGATTTACAACTTTTACATGGCCGCTACAATCCAATCTATTTCTAGTTGACCATTTTTTTGTAGATAAGCGAAACGACCGAGCTCTAGAATCGTATTGTGACGTAAAATATTGTATGGTCCATAATAAACTATGGCTGAATATCGAGCTGTACAATATTTTACTGCCGCCATTCCCGGGAGAGTATGTCACCGGCAAGTTGTATAATCCGACTGTTTGCAATGTGCCCAGACATATAACAAATTGTTTATCTGACGAATTCATTTATAAACTAAAAATACTTTTATTATTAACTGCACAGTTTTAACTGTCTGGCTTTTAACTCCGGATGACTTGTACAGTTTAGCTGACACATTAAACTTTTCCTACTATTCAGTTTAAAATAAACAAACATGCTTTATATTTAGACAATTTCTAAAGATGATACATTATTTATCATTAATACAAGACGTTAAAAACAATTTGAGTTATCTGAGTAAATTATATACAGTCGGAGTAGAGAGTTTGCCGGTGACATATATGACCTTGTAGCCGGGTATAGTTTGAGAATGACTTGTGCATTACCGCCCTCGTTTGGGGAGAAACTTTTCTCCGATGTATTAATACTTGTCAGTATATTTACATTGTTAGTATATGATCGATCGGATATGAATTTAGTTTACTTGTACTTGTATGTTGGGTAATGAAATATCTCTATAATAACAACTAGTTGTTACTCATGACGTCGTCCGTGTGATTTAAAAAAATATACCCTATATTACTCAGTGATAACATAGCTTTGTAATGGTGAAAGAATTTTTGAAATCGGCTTAGTAGTTTTTGAGTTATTTCAATACATACTAAAATACAAAAATCCAAGTGTTACCTCTTAATAATAATAGAATAGATCAAGCTAAGATACGATTAACGATTGTTAAAAAGAGATTAGTGTTTGTTAAACTGAGTTTAACTTATTGCTTTGAATTGTCTGATCTCCATAAATTCGTACGTATGCTACTTTCTTATGTTATTTTTAATTCAACTAGGATAGTCGCGGACGTTAGCTAGTATATTTATAACCATGTCTGAAGTTAATTTATCAATGCCATTTTGTTACTAAAAATTAAAACAAATGAAAGCTGTCAAGGAAAACTGACAACAGGAAGTCTCTGAATGTTTACTTATTATCTAAAAATGCTCGTAACATAGTTAATGATTCTGTAGAAATACAATTTTTTTATTGCCGTAGTTAAGAGCGGGCGCACAATATTGACTAAAAATGACCCGAAATTTCGTCGCGCGATTTTGAGTTAAACTATTTAACTACGTCGTAGTCTTTGACTCCAAAAATCAACCAAAAAAATGGGACCCACCTGCAAGCATTACCTTTAGGATAAAAAAAGAATTATCAAAATCGGTCCACTAGCGGCGGAGTTATGCCGTAACACACATAAAAAAACATACAGACGAATTGAGTACCTTCTTCTTTTGGGGAGTCGGTCAAAAATATCGCACAAGTGTTGTGCGATTGTCCATTGTTTCGCAGTCAATTCAACTGTTTAGTTGCACAACTACAAAACATTAGAGGGCACCTCCATATAAGCTCATAAGAATCAAAGCGAGACTAAATAATTGGGTGTTAGTTTAGTTTCAGGTCCGCACCTCTTAGTTTTAGTTTCCTAGGTACGACTAGAAAACTTTTGTTCTTAAGTAATATAACAAATTGGTTTATTGTTTAGTAAATTAAAAATTCGGTACCGTGATTGGATATTTAAACACATTACTTACTAGCTTTCGCCCGCGACTCCGTCCGCGTAAAATACGATAAGATTTTTAGCCTATGTGTTCTTCCAGAGTATCTTCTACATCTGTACCAAATTTCATTGATATCCATTCAGCCGTTTAGGCTACAAACTCTAACAAACATCCATCCATCTAATACTTCGCATTTATGACATTAGTATGTTTTCAATTTCCAGGTGTGGCGATTAGATCTCGTTATGGTGATATTATTCAAAGCTATACCATTGGAGAGTACTGACGGAGAGCGGTTAGAAAAGCACCCCGAGTGCACACAGCCCGGCCTCTGCGTCAACCCTTACCACATCAATGTCTCCGTACGAGAACTGGACCTCTACCTTGCTAACTTCATCAACAGCTATGGTAATGGGAGCGACGGTCTGCCAGGTCTATCGCTCACTTATATTAGCTTAAGTTGGGAGCTAATGTTAACTAAAACTAATTTAGCTACACACTAACAGTAATCTTAACTAAAACTAATTTAGCTACACACTAACAGTAATCTTAACTAAAACTAATTGAGCTACACACTAACAGTAATCTTAACTAAAACTAATTTAGACAACTAACAATAATGTTAACTTCTTATCCTGCCCTTTGTTACAAACGGCAAATAATTCAATACAATTCTATTGGTCTAAATCTAAAAACTAAAACTAATCAATTTTAATTGTTAAATTATGTTGGTTTTAGTTTTTAGATTAACCACTATGCTAAATTATGAACTAAATAAAAAAAGGTTGTCGTTATCCGACTAGTACCTGTGTGTAATGTAATAGGTATTTAGTTTACAATGTCAACTAACTGTTGGTCATGCTAACTTAGTTTAAGAAACTAAAAAAGTATTACTAATTTTAGTTAGTTTATTGTGATTGTGTTTTAAATTTTAAGTTTATTTTTTCATCAATAATTTAAAAGAAATTTCAATTGAATTTTTAATATTTATACCAAATCTTAATTGGTTTAGTTTTTAATTAACATTGGCTCGCTAACGTATATTGCTAAGTTAGATATCACGTTAACATTTTTAAAAGTTGCACCTTTTGTAAATAACTTATCACTTTACTTGTGATAACTTTTATTCGTATAATTTCATGCGGATAACAAAGATTATGCAAAGATAGAGTTACATCACGTCTACGACTAAAGTTGTGCTGACTACGACTAAAAAAGATTTAGAAATCTAATTTAGTCTAAATCTTTTACCTCCGCTTACTAAACAAAATGCTTTTTTAATACATGGAGTAATTTAACTTCATTTAGAGGTTCGTGTTGACAATTACTTTGGGTTTCCATTATCAAAAGACCTGTATAAAAACAATTAGTATTTCCGAACAGTATAAGTAACCCGATGTTATTTCAGATATCCTAAGCGGTTCTCTGTCGCCCCACCCTCCTAGGGACAAAGAGAACGAACACGACGCTAAAAGTAAAGGTAACCGCGTCACCCGGCTCGTACCCGTGTTGACGTGTCGTCACGGACATGTGACGCCTTGTGACATGTTCGTGACGTGCTCGTGTCGATGTTGTGTCGTTCTCGTAGCAGTTGTCGGGCTAAGAATGATGTCAAAGATAGGATATGGTTCTTTTTACAGATATTATTCAGAAGTATCAGTTTCAGAAACATTTACAGATACAGACGAAAATACAAATGAAAATAGAATAAGAGAAACCACAAATAAATTAACATAAAATATAAATCTGATTATCAAAGTAGCAGACTATCGGAATTCCAATTTGAGCCTAATATTCTAATGTCAATAAATCTAATTTAGTTAAATTTTATTCGATAAATCATTTTTAGCCACAAAAGACGCTGCAGCGAGAATTTGTGATTGGATTTTGCACAAAAAGATGTTGTGATTATCACCTTTAGTTTCAAACCTGCATTTATTGAAGAAATATCAATAATTTTTATCTAATCCCAGCATTGGTTGCACTCACAATTCATTGCTTTTGTTGTAAAGAAGTTTATTGATAGTTTTAGTAGTCGGTGTTCCTTCTCTTTTACTCTTTTATATTCTTCAATGTTAAGGCTCTTCATGATCCTTATTTTAAACCTTTAAAATATTTTATTAAACATAACAAATTTACTAGAAGAGCTTTGACGTTAACTCTTTCAATGTTAAGTTAGTTTTTCTAAAACTAATTTAATCTTTCTTAGCTTTGTGTGATTCTGTCGGTGTTTTTGTAGTTTTGATGAATTGGTGTTTAGTTTTGATATTTCCCTTGTAGATTTAGATATTCTACTTAGTCGCTAACCGGGCGACTGAGGTGTGCGGCCATATTTGTATGCTGTCAGTTTAACTCCACTGGCAGTTTGAAAATCAAGCGTAATAATAGTCGAGCGTTTAACGACTAAGTGGAAATAGTCCCTTATGATTTATAGTTGAATTTCGATTACATTAATTCCCAACTAACCTTGCTCATTGTTAAATTGTTTCTATAAAATAATATTTTTTATTTTTTATTTCTAAGCTCGTCTGTGGTTATTTGACCCTTGTGTTAGCTGTGTAATTACTTAAGATCTGATTTCTCCATTTTTAATGATATTAATGTTTTTTAAGTTTTTGCAAATTCTCTATTATCTTAATTTGAACGATGCAACATTATTGTCATATGTTATGGTTCAAATTATGATTATATTGTCTTCGTGTTGAATGTTTCTAGTTGCATACAGACTAATTTTATATTTAGTATTTGCTTGTTTTTAATTAGAATTTTCTACTTCATCGATGTTACCATGTAAATCGTACAAAGGAAGGACAAAACAAGCAAATTTTAAATAAACTATAGCTGTTGTGACCCCACCTCCATAGTTTTTTTACCGAGAGGATCCCTGTGTATAACGCGAAGTGCTGGGTTGCAGGCTATACTCACAATCCATACAACGGTGTCATATGCAACGATATTATTCTAGCAACCGGTGTCTTCTCATCGAAGGAACTATGGAAGTTGAGTAAAGGTATGTTATGGTAGCTTGCTACAGACGATCAGTTCAAGTAAACAATTGAACTGTTTACTTAAATTGAACGTCTGTAGCGAGTTTAACGTGTTTCTTTTAACAATAAAGCGATATTTGTGTCAACCCTACGCATAATTTCCTAATACGGAGAGTTGTCGATGACTGGTGACGTAATATAAAGAAATTTGTATTTAATCTGTTCACTCTAACCTATTAAAGACGCATCGATGATTTGAATTTTTAGTTTTATTGTAATAATTTCATATTTATATATATATATATATATATATANTATATATATATATATATAAATATGTTTTAAAAATATTTCATAGGTGGTAGACGCCAGCATGAACATCTGACCGCAATATCACGACCACACAGAAGACAGACAGTTGAAATGATTGTGCGTTTCGTTTTTATGAATTCCCTTCTTTTGTTATACGGGAGAGGGCGAAGTAAATTTGACGGAGAAGGGGACGCAAGTTAAAGGGAATCACCTGTGATAATTCTTAGCTTCCCCTTCTCTGTAGATTAAAGGTAGAATGTTTATGGGATGGGATGTTTATGGGCAGCGGTTGTCACTATTACGACGAATTCAGTCGCTTTTGTAATTATCCACTTTATGGTATGAAAACTACTTTTTTCGTTTAATTCTTTATAAATCTATAGTTGTCCAAATATAGAAGAGTCGGGTAAAACATTTCAGCGTCCATCCTACAAGAGACGGGGTCAGAGTCGCCCGGCGGGTCGGGCATTAAGCTGGAGTCGGGCTACTACTGCGGGTACGGCAGTCCAGCTCCGCCCGCCTTCGAGCCCCCTGCGGAACGCGCTACGCCATCCACTATGCTGGTCGGGCAATGCTTCAGTAAGTTTAACGTATATTTGCATATCTATCTGTCCTTTTCTTGACAATAGTGATAGAAAAGGACAGGCAACTTATAGTATAGTAAATAAGGTTATCACACATGAAACGCTATTCATTTGTCTCAAGCAATACAAGTTTCGGTTTTATAATTTCGGTTTTCACTTATGCCAAAAACACGAGAAATCGACAACCATCGCTGTAGGTACACTATTACAAAAAATGCGTTGAAAAGTGTCAAAATCTAAATAAGGGCAGCGACACACCGTCGGTTGTCGCGCCGCGTATGGCGACGTGTATGTGCGGCATACTAATGATGCTTTTGTTTTATTCAATTTTATACGTCATTAATATGTCATTGACTTGTAGCGAATGATTAATTAACAATTATTCTGTTAATGGTGCAGTCTCATGACTAAATATGTGTTCGAGTTTCGATTGCAAATAAGTCGTAATTGCTATATAACTATTTATGGAAATTTGAATCCTATTACATTGTGTACAAGTTTCATTTTCGTTCTACACAGTCACTTCTTACTAATATTGTAAATGCAAATATTTAGATGACATGTAAATTTGTCTAGCAGAACACTTGATTTTTAATTTTTTAAAACCCGCGGGCAAAAGGTAGTCTATACTTCTATACTAATATTATAAAGACATGATTTGTATTTGTGTATGTATTCATTTCACGTAATAACTACTGGGCCGATTTTTAATATACCATTGGAAAGGTGATATATCAGTGAGTAACATAGGCTATATTTTTAATTATATTTTAATTTCACGCGGACGAAGTCGTGAGCAACAGCTAGTATATAATTTGTTTTGCAGGCATCCCGCACAGCTCTGCAGCGTTAAGCACGCAGTCGCCGCTGGTGCCATCTAATGCCATCTTCTACCAGCACGCGCCACCGCCCACAGACACGCACCCCACTGGTATAAGAAACCGATATATTAAACTACGGAAAATTATATTTCGAATAGAAATATTACATATTCTGGCAAATCAGTAAAACACCTACATCAGAAACTAAAATTGAAATAGTTCAGGATTGGATTTTTGATTACGAAGCACTTTTTTTTGGTATTGGGGAGGGAATCTTCAAAAAGACTCCCTTCTGGGGGGAAGACAAGGATATGTGCGGTTTGTACCTACTAAAATCCTTTCGGTGGCCAACCTTTAGGGCAATAGAATTGGGTTACGGGATCTCCGTGGAACTCACCGCAATCTGATCACGTGGTTAAGGGTTCGAATCCCGATATTCGACTATTACCGTCATTCCTTCACAAGGCTTAGTGAGACTGGAACAAGAAATAATAGTAAATTAAGTTTTTTTTTAAATATTAAAACCTCGTGACAGTTTATAATTTTCATAGTCAGAAATCTACCGTAACTATTAATAGTCATATTATATGATTCCAGCATCAGAGTTGTCAAACCAGCATTCAAGTGGGAAGTACGAGGGCGCGCCGCAAGACTCCCTCGGGGACTTTGTGACCTTCGTGTGTCAGGAGCCGCCCACTGACGTACAGCAGATACAGGTATTGTTTTACCACTAGGTGTCAGTAAATACTGCTCCATGGACCAACAATTACACGTTCATATCACCACAAGTAAGAGTCTGTAAAAACTGAGAGTTACTGCTCGAAGGACCAACAATAATACGTTCATTACTTTCCCAAGCAGTAAATGAAACTTAGTAACACTGCTCGAAGCACCAATAATTACACGTTTATATCGTCTCAAATAGGAATACTGAGAGTTACTGCTCGAAGGACCAATAATTATACGTTCACTACATTGCCTAGCAATAAATGGAACATAGATATATTGTTCGAAGGATTGAAAATTTACTGTCATCAAATCTCTGGTTTCCAGGTCCACGGTCTGTCGCGGAGTCCGAAGCCAGCGTACTTTACTAACTCAATGCTGCCCCCGCCGCCGCTGCCGCCGATGGCCAGGCCAGTGGCCATCATCAGGTCAACAGGTACGAGTATACTTTGCTTTACTTTAAATTGGCTATTCATCAGACTTTGCCTACTTTTGGACATAGGCGTTCCCTAATTATCCATAGTACTCGTTTGACGAAAGTAATTTGTAATGACTGGTGTAGCGAGTGAGTCTGGTGGCGTGGGCGTGGGCGTGGGCGGAGTGGGTGTGGGCGTGGGCGGCGGGGGCAGCTCGCCCGCGTCCCCCGAGGGCCGGTCGCCTGGCGCGTCGCCCCGACGCCGCTCGCCGCACTACCGCGACTGTCATCCCACGCTCACGCACTTCAATCACTTCCACGCGCAGCCGCAACAGGTAAGTTTAGCTTTCTAGTAACTCATCATCTTCCTTCTTATCCTACTCCCGTATTGGCACACGTTTTTGTCTTCTTATTTATCTGAATTCCTACTGTGCAAATAAAACTGAGCGTGTGTAGCGGGCTTAACGTAATTAGCCAAAACAGTAAAGCGATTGTTGCCCTTAGATATTTGCATTTACAAATCGTTGCCTATTTTTAATCAATACACGCCATCCTTCGCTAGGCTTTTCCACCTTTTTTGTACAAGAAAAAGGGGGAAAAGGACTGTAGTTAGGCTTCCGACACACTTAGTGTACGCGACGTAGTTAATGTCTCCCATTTGTCGCATGTTGTGTTAAAGAGGGTTGTACTGTGCAGGTGTTCAGCTACGGCGGGCTGGGCGGCGGCGCGGTGCTGGCGGGCGGCGGCGGCGGCTCTCCGCCCGGCGGCCTGGGGCTGTACGCGCCGCGCCCGCCGCCGCGAGCTCCCCCGAGGTACTGTCATCACTTTTACTTAACAAATCTATTGTATCTGTAACACATAGAATATTATCAATCTTTTTTTCTATTCCGCAGGCTATTGCTAGTAAGTGTTTAATTATTTTTCAGGTGGAATGCGCCTTTCCCGACATTAGAAGAAGAGTTCAACATTATGACGGCGCCCGGCGGACCCGATCACGTCGTGCTTTTGGATGATGGTATGTTAATCCTTTGTTATTTTAGTTAGTTAGACGTTAGTTATGAGTGTGATACTCCGGTCGGGAAACATAGAAAGAGGTGGATAGAGTGAAAGGATGATCTGGAAGGGAGTGACTAAGATGACGATGACGATGACAGCGCGAAAATGTCAAAGCGGACTCTACCACTGTTGAAAATCGCGAGAAAAAGCTAGTTGTTGATAATTTTTTTCTTCTTTCCAGAGCGTTTCTTCCAATCTAACGTGATAAGTGCGGAAGGCAGCGCAATGGATACAAGTTCCGGCGTGTGCGCGGCGGAGGGCGAGGAGCTGGCGCCCGACAAGCCGCTGCGCTCGCCGTGATGCGCGCCGCCGCGGTGGACGCCCGCGCCGCCGCCGCACTGGCGCCCCGTCGGCCTCGCGCACCGCACGCCCTGACAGCTGACAGCCCGCCACCGACAGAACATAGCTGACAGCTGACAGCCCGCCAAACGCAATACAGTCCGCCATGTTCTTTTGTACAAAAGATTCAATTCGTTTGTTTTTTGTTTGTAATCGGATACATTCGGCCTTATTTTTTTTTAATGAAACAAAAGCAATTTATTTACAGCCAGTATCATATTTCTATAATTTAGGAATTTTTAATTTCTGCCAAGGCTATGTTTTTTTTTCGAACACCAATGCAATTCTTTACGGCCAGTTTTATGTAAAAAGAAATTGGTTTCTTTTAAAGTATTTAAAGCGGTTTTAAAATGTAAGTTTTGTTTTGTAATTTGTGTTTAATTTTAAAATTGTTTTTCTTTGTAGTGTGAATATTTTTCGGTCGTGTTTATAAACATTTTTGTTCCGTAGTATTTAAAATGTTAGTTGATCTCTTTCTCGTACATGTAATTTTAAAAGTTATAAACAACTTTTACAAGCCAACTGTAAATGCTTCAGCTTAATTATGAAGTTTTTTTATTATTTCATATTTGTCAAGTGCGGCGGACAGAAAGCGAGGGCGAGTGTAATCACTATTGTATATACAAAAAACAAAACCGCGGCAAAGGTAGATGAGTTCACTTTTAAATTACGCGCGGCATTAGTTATCTGTGGAAATGTCAAAGTCAAATTACTTTGCAACAGCGCCATCTATTGTCCAGACACAGATGACTTATGCGATTTTCGTTCATTAATCGTTAAGGCAACGTAAATAATAATGTAAATTATGAAGCTACAAGAAAGTACACGACATTATGATATTCTAATATTTTTATAGAATATAAAAGTATGATCAAAGCCTTCCAGTAATTTAGTGAAGTGATAATTAAAGGTTCAGCTTATGAATTATTTTGCTGACCTGTAAGGCAGTCAAACACTGATTATACATGGATAGGTTACTTCGAAATGACAGATTTTTGTATCGTTCTTGCATCTTCAACATCAGAGCAACTCCCCCTACTGGAAAAAAACTACTAAAAAAATTTGAATTTTGGTAGCTGTCCTCAGATTAAAAACTAAAATGGCGAAATTGTAATATGCACTAAATACTAGGGGTTATATCCTATCCATGTATAGGTTAGTGAAGGGAGCGGGTAGTTAACAAAATGCTTCCAAATGGTTCGATTGACGAAAGTGTGATATTATAGTTTTGTTTTTTGTTTCATTGTTGTGTGTTGTATTGACAATTAAAATAGATATAAGCTTATTAGTTTACGATGAGAAGAAAATAATTTATTGAAACGAATATTTAAGAAAGACGAGCCTTGCTTATGATTAGTTTAGTTGTATACTTAGTGACCGTGAACCTGTCATTTATTCTTGCTCTAAATTGACATTTTAGTACAAAACGTTGACATAAAAATGTAAAAATCAAGCTACATTTGACATTATAGTTAGAGTGTGTAATTTTGATACTTTCTGACGATAATTTTGATACTTCGATATGTTTAATATTCAATTTCAAGTATCAAAACGCATAAGTCAATTTAGAATGAACTTTAAATGGTTAACTACATTAAAATAGAATCCTATTTGAATTGTTGTCAATATTTATTTTACTAAATTCACCTTAAGATAGTTATTTAAAAATCTAATAAATAAATAAACGAAGTCAATTTGAGAGTAAGAATAAATCGACAAATGTAGTTCGACAACCGTCGAGGGACATTCAATAGGTGCCTTTCATATGAAAAAACTTATAATAAATGTATAATAGGGACTTGTAAATTGTAGTGTTCTTTTAAAATCCATCCGCTCGTATGTATGACTCACTATCGATTTAATATTAAGGACATTTTAGTCAATTAACATTTTTCGGTCCGCCATCTTTGATTTTGCGAAAGTTTGAATTTAATTGCGAGTTTTGCCGCCATTTATAACATTTAGATTAGTGATTTCGTTTCAATCATGCAATTTTCGTTCGCGATCCCGTGGCCATATGAGAAAAGCTAGTCATTAGAATTACAATGTAAATTTAATGTTACTTAAAAGTTTAAAAAAAATATTTACAATTACTAATTAACCCCCATTAGTAAGGGAATGAAACTAAAAGAAATGTGGCCAAATTACACTTAATAAAAATCTAAATATATATACACAATTTTTAATAGAATTAGAATATATAAGTACGATATGGTTAAGTTGACATTTTGTGAAACTGATCGGTGACATCTGACAGTGACGTAACCGAACAGTTCGGAAATTAAAAACAAATGTGACAATAAGTCCCTCAAGGTTACCATAGACAACATTTTAAATTCCAATTTTAAATTGTCACGTTTGTAAAAACATCAATCACTTTTTATTTATTACGCAGGCTTTTCACTAAAAACGGACGTTATTTTAAAAGGTTTTCAATTAATTTTTCACGACCCTTTTAGTTTCGTAGAACATTCGACTAAGAGGTTATAGAAATATAGAAGTAGGTAACGTAGCAATAAACGACAAGCAATAATTAAATAATAGTATAATAAAAAGGCTTTAGTAAAGCTAGTGATCGGTACTGATGTAGTTGACCATATAATCGTAATAATTGACTCGCAGAATATTTTTTCTATAGTAAAATATGGCCGGGAATACCGTCATTGTATAAAGTGAAGATGAATTAGGGAAGCCATTTGGTACAATTATTAAATAGCTATTTCAGAACGAAACTATAGATTATATTGTTATTACAGCTATAATAGTTCAACTAGGCTGAAAAGCGGGGTTTAGTCAATTGCTAGCGATAGACTTTATTAGAAAATATATTTAAAAAAAGGTCAGAAAATTAAGAGTCACTTGAGGCTTGATTACATTGCTGGGAAGCAACTCGTGTAACGGAACGGTGTAACATTGTACAATCTGTGAGGCAATATTGGTGACGAATTTAAAAGTTCATTGGTGCCGAAAATTCTAGACTGTGATTAAATTGTTCATTCTGAACGTGTCTTATATTGAAATAGTTGTTTTTGTATGATTGGCAATACGCACGGCTCGTGCCCGTTCGATGTAAAAAAAAATATACTGTATAAAGCGACAGGCGGACATGTTTGAAATGCATTTGTTATTACAACTTTATGAATTGTAGACCGATAGACGAGAAAGATGTTAAAAACTTTTATCTACAGCGTTGGTAGAAACGGTAGTGGTTTTGTTGATAGCTTCGCAATAGTTTGTGCGCGTGACAGATGTCGCCATTTTGAGACCATCGACAATTCTCCATCTGACATCTGACGTTTGAAATGGCGCGCGTCTGTGACGGCGCGATTTATATTTTTTATTAGCACCATTATTACGATATGGAGAACTAATTGAAAGCCTAAACATTATGTGCCTTAGATACAACAATATTGTATGATATTTATGATGCGTTCTATACAACGTGCTAACTAGAAATAATGTTAAATGTTGTTTTCCAAAGCCTGGGTCTCGACTTTTGTCTTCATTGTTAGAGTTGGTTTACGCAAGGCTTCTGTGTATTTCCAGTTTTGTCTCAATCTTTGAACCCTCATTGATCTTTTGACCTTCCAAATTACGTACAAATGGCCCAAGTAAGTTCATCTCGAGTTTAACCCCCTATTTAGTCCAGTCACATTTTTGGGCGTAGAAGTTTGGATTTTTTTAAAAAGATGGTAACCCTATCCCCTCCTTAATAATTATCTTACAATTAAGTGACGCTTCGATGCGTAGTTTTGCTGAAATATAAATAATTCTAATATATTCATATAATTTAGTACCTACATTATACCCACTTAAGTACCTATCGTATACTTTCTGGCATGTATACTCTATGCAATTTGAATTAGGCGCGCTTTTGTTTCGAGCAACATGGTTGTTCCTGTTCTCGCGATGCTTTTTCAAATTCTATACAAAAAAATGTTTTTACCATTCTCTTATGTAATCATTTAACATCACTATTTTTGTTAATATTTGAGAAAATCCGTCTTGAATGTTAAGTTTTGTGGATTCTGTAATAACATACGTAACTAAAGATATTTAAGGAATAATTAATAACCTTTAGAAGAATACTCCTAGTTATTAAATTACTTTTTTTGTTCATCGAATGTTATGATGTGCAATTATTATTTTAGCGAATTAATTGTTTTAGTGTTAATTGTCCACGACCCATAGTTTGTAAATACCTTCTCAAGTGTATTTTGTATTATATTTTGGATTTGTACTTAATAACTACAGAAATAAAGACAGGAAACTGGCAATTAAATGTAGTAATAGTACAGCCAGTTGCATAAATGTATACAAAGATACAGAATTCTGTATACATTGCGTAAATGTATACAAAATTTTGTATACATTGCGTAAATGTATACAAAGTTTTGTATACATTGTATAAATGTATTCACATTTATGCAAGCTGACTGTCACCAACTTGAGAATCAAATAAAAGCGGAAAGCTAGTCTCTGTCTACCCCAGTTGGGTCTAAAAGACGTGAAGTTATTTTGTATAAAGAGCAAGCGAATTTATATTTTAGTTGAAGTCTGTTTTCTTGTATCTCAATATTATTTAGTTTTCACTTCTCACTTTTTCATTTAATCCAAACATACCTAAATGAAATTTATTTACCTAAATTTGATTCGTTTTCATTTAACTTCAAAGAAGCAGAAGCGATGAACGTTTGATATAGGTATGCGTAATTAACTATAGACTTGTAAAAATGTTATAATGTGTATTTTTAACCTATATAGTAAGATATTTATAGATTTTTAGTCGTTTAAATATTTCGAACGACTTGTTATTAAAGAAAATTGGTGCTTAAAGCTTAAACAAATACGTCAGTGTTGTAGTCGCAAACTGAACACGTGAAGTTAGCCGAGTTAAATACACGCGCTAAAATTATAATTCAATTTTGACAGATAAAACAAAAAAATGTCGACACTAAAAACCGTATAAAACCAACTATAAAAAGGGAAATCGTTTATGATTTAAATTAATATCTTGTTATGCAAATTTATGTTGTATTTTTATAACTATGACAGCTGTCAAATCTGTTATATAAAAAATATAACCTAACATGCTGCAATTACATTTGGAAGTATTGTAATTTTGTTGTTTGACTACAGTCAAGATTTTTCAAATATGATTAGAGTAACATAAATAATATAACAATTTTACAGTGTACAATATGCGTAATTGGGATGTTTTGTGCCCATAGCTAACTTCACGTTGTACGCTTGCGACTGCCACAGAGTGAAGTATGCCGCGTGTGTCACAGGAGAGCAGATGATATAGCGTGCGTTGTTATGCTGAACTATGGTGTCCAAACATTTGAAAAAAAATCTGTAAATTATGTGTTAA